CCCCAAAACCCCAAAACCCCAAGGCAATTAACTTATATCGAAGTTAGTGTTAGAAAATGAGTGGGCTTATAAATGAATATCAACATTAAAGATATATTGCTGCTTTAAGAACATCTAGAGCTATCTTTGGTTCAATTGGGAAGGGTGGTCTGGCGAAGCTAACTTTTCTGTATATTAACTAAATCATATAGTAATGAGATTATTGTTCTAATACTGTAAATAAAATGCATTAATTCAGTTATAAAAACTTTTTGATTAATTATCAACTTACCTTGTAATGAAGATATTTGACACATATTTCAAGTATCTCTGCATTAATATCTAAGGAAATTTCCTTGCTATCACCCTCTCTAAATCCACCTTGAAATAATCATTAAACATTAATAAAACTTACTGTTCACAATATTATTCAAATGCTTGCTAATGGCAATCACATCTTTATTAACATAGAATGTGTGGCCATCATTACTATTCAAAATGGTTATTAAGTATTTTCTTGAATTATAGGCAATAGAATACCTACCTAATTAACTTGATTATAGTAGAGGAATTGACAATGCTAGGCTTGCCTTTTGATTTGTCCATTTGTCTTGCAAGAAATTGTTCCATTTTATTTCGTATTAAAACAAAATCAAAATTTAAATTATAATTAATTAAACTAATTACTTATAATATTTTAAGTTCCACTCTTTAGAAATGTTAAAATCAGTATTCTCCTCAAAAAGACCCATAGCGACAGCTAAAGAGTTAGCATATGACAACGCTGTTAATTTAACTCTGAGATTATATGAGAGATGGATTCTTCCCTAAGATCATGGCAAGCATGCTTCACTTAGAGATTTAAAACTAAAGGAATTTGAAGTTAGGAAAAAAATACTTAATCCTTATTAAAAAGAATTGATGCTTTAGTAAACATCCAACCCAGAAGATATAGATAAATTGGCAAAGTTGACTTCATTTAAGAACATTTACGATTTTACAATTACCTATAACAGGCACAAGAACAAGTATGGAATGAGACTTAAGGACTTCCCTGAATCTTACGGAATATATGATTCCTCAATGAATTACAGATATGATCCAGATTACTATTACAAATTTAGACCTTAAAGACTAAGAGTCAGATATCTGATTGCTGGGTTCTTTATGTTTATCTTTATTTGTAAAGCCAGAGTGAGAAATGTAGAGGAATTTGATCGGTAAAAAAGAATGGAGCAGAGAAATATGTAAAATGTTGAAATAGATGAAGTTTATGGTAAATATGGCAAGTATACTCTGTACAATCAGTTTGATAAGCCAGTTAATGAGAAAAATTTCATCAATAAAGACTCCTATGTAGTATTTTGGTATGATGCTAAGATGAAGAATTACCTTACATTTTTGGATTTTCTAATTAAAAGGAAATTCATTCAGGGTAATGTCAGAGCAGTCTTAATCGTAGATAGAATTGAATATATGACTAACATAGAAAAAATTAAGAGCGAAAGTCGAGATGAAAAGCTGAAAAGTTAAATGAATGTAATGTTGAAGAAGTAATTCACAGATACTGAAAAGCTAGTAAAAGCATTTGATAATAGTAGCAGCTAATTCTAAAATGAAGAGGTAAATAAGGAGAATGTTATCGAACTTGATTTAAAAAAAAGTTTCTTTTATGTTCTCACTCCAGAGGGAAAAATCATTGATTGCGCGAAGATTTACAGCTTTTTACATGAAGAAAATATACATAAAAGAATTATGGCTAAGATTTCAAAAGATATAGATGATAAGATGACAAAGAGTATTTAGGAGAAATGAATTTAGCTAAAGTTTTATTTCAAAAACTTAGATCATATATATATATATATATCAATCACTTAATTAATATATGAGGAGTTAATTAAAAAAATTCTATACTTTAATTTTAATGTAGATTGAAGGGGTTTTGGGGTTTTGGGGTTTTGGGG